TATCTGAGAAACGAATAGTTTATAATGTGGCAAAGATTTTTATATTGTAAGTAAATTGTTATAATATGAAACAGATGGCTATAAATCTGCTTATTTTTAAAAAATACTCCCTGAATCCTACTAATTAGTTTCTCCACATAGTATCTAATTACTAGTATTCGTAAAAGACTCATCTCACTAAGTTATTCAATTAAGAAATTGAGAATGAAATAGAGTAAAACTGTGAACCTAAGTTTTGTGCTTGCTGAGACTTGTCAGAAAGACATGTTCAATCTTAAGATTACTTATAATCATCGAAAAGTTCAAACACACTTCATCTAGTTTAAAAATACCCGAGGTTACCACTGAGCTATTTGGACCGCAACTAACCTCCAGAGCATTATGATATCTACATTGAATGATCGCTAAGTAACGGTTCCAGGTACCAATTCCTGATCACTATCAAATTGCCTGAAACCTAAGCCCAAAACTTTCTCGTTGCTACTCCCAACTATCTAACTTCTAAATAAAGTACAAGCGATGTTGATTCATTTAGACTGCTGGCCACGTTGTAACTTGATAGATGGTATTCTGTCAGTGTTTAGGACTAGATAAAATGACGATGATTACTATTCGGTAAACAACCAATGTAAATTAGAAATTTTCGTTTAACGTTTTTATTGTTTTCTTCTACTTTTTCTCTCATTCCATGTTTATATCAATTTTTCATTAAAAATCGATTAGATGTTTACCGATGATACAAATATTGTCGACTGGTTTATTTATCCTCTATAGAAAACTTTATTTGTATATACAATTGAATTTTTAAAGAAATATAACTAGGACATATATAATAAACAAGAGAATTGTTGTATAAAAAAATGATCAAGGTCACTAAAAAAGAAAAGAATTCAGGTCATTAAAGTAAAAAAATGGTAAGCTTCTATAGATCAAATGACATTAAGGTGAACGGATCATAAACAGTTAAAAGTAGAGAAAAGTACAACAATTATAGAATTAGTTTTCAGTGATTTATCAATGTCAAACTTTTCATGGTAGCTCAAAATAAGAGGAAATAATTACATTTTTATTTAAATATATAAGTTCCACAATTTTAAGTTCACAACGTTTATACACATAACAACTATAAATTCATACTTATAGATCATATGTTGAGCAGGTGAGATGACTGTATAGATGGGTTTGATACATAAAAGTCAGATGTTTTTTACTTTGTTAATCCATTATTCAAAGTTAAATAGTCACGTATTAATTGCCAATATTTGGAACTGTGTATTTTTGAAGGATTGCTTGCACACAGTGTTGACTCATATTATGCAACATAAAATGAGTATTAAATTAGTTCAAGAATTCGTGAAAACTTACAAACTGATTGGGTTTACACTTGATATCTATACTTCCAATCCTGTTTTCATTTCAATTACTCTCTGCTTCCTTTACTGTTCTCTTCAATTCCATCTTATACTGCTACATTCCACCTCCGACTGCTGCTACATACTACTTATATCTGTTAGCATAAGTAGCATCCATCGCAATACTACTTATAAAAAATATTTATCTACGCAAAAACTAGTCAAGAAATCGTTACTGTTTTCCTATTAAAATTGTTAATTTATCATCCCAATGAGAAAAGAAACTTGAAATTTTTCACTATCACACCCAACTCTAAACAAGATTTTAAAAAAGTGTGTCATGTAATTAATTGTCTCTTGAGACTGGCAAAAACTGTATCCATCCCGGCCGAGCCTTTTTACATCAATATTGATATCAAAAATTTAATAAAATCTCCCTATGATAATGGATCACATTATTAACTGTTAAACTGATGTTAAATCATCTCATCATTACATGTTTATACAAGTCAGTACATTTATGTGACATGTATGTCATGATGCTATGTATGTAGTGGCTGGCACTAACTATGTCAAGCCCACATAGGCTGATCCTAATTCTGGACAAACTAATCCATTCACTCTTTTCAAGCTATATTTGAACCTTGTCATTTATTCTCTTATTAACACTGTTTTTATTTGAGTGTGCGTTAATTACTTACCCTATTAATTATGTATGTGTAATTTATTTTTGCCTGAATATAAATATTGAGTCACGCTTTATCAAATTGAGTTGGCTCACTCGCCTTCACCACTGCATATCATTTTGGTTCGCTCTTTCCTCTTCGCTTCGTTTGCCTGATTGTCTGTTCAGATCAACGATTTTATGAAATATATGTATTTAAAAATCCATTCTCTTATTTGACTTATTCAATTCCGCTATTCACTACTGCGATTTAAGTCGATAATTATATACTAGGGTCGGTGGAATGTATATTTCGATAACAATCAGCGAACGATACAATGGCCATTTAATTTATATATATCGATTTACACATAAAAATAGTTCATTGAAAAAAGTTTATACATTTTGTGACAGTTTTATTATTAAGCTGTGTTGCGTATTCTATTTGTTTATCTCTCAACATTAAACTAATCATATCAAAATGACTTTTAAAAAATGTTTGTTTTACTAAGGTCACTATTTTTGTTGAAGTAATTCACATATATCTAAGTTGACTTTTATTTTAGTAAAATGTATTGATTAAGACTATTATTTATTATGGTGAATATGCTTATTTTTCTCCATGTTTTACTTTACTTTTTTTACTAAACCTTTCCTGTTCTCAAAATATTTCATTTCATTGAAATTTAGTTAGATTGTTTAAATTACTTAGATTATTTTCAAATATGTGAACTTTTGACTTGTACTTTAGTTTACAAACGATTGTAGTGTTTTTGGTTATGAAATGAAATTTAATAAATTAAAAATTTCCCTCTATCACGACATTTATTTGTTTACACGGATTTTAGGTCCTTTTAAACTGTGTCCTTAAAACATCTTGGTATCATAAAATACGTTGTTACTTTAAATGACATTCATACTGCACTATCAAATCTAAGTTTTTTCTTTCAAATTCGATATATATAGTAAACTAATTTGTTTCATTGAAGTCTTAGTGTCTCTGTTACTATGCCTACATGTATCACCATCAGATATACTGATAAAAAATTTCATTCATATAACTGTCGTGCTTTTTAAACAGAATAACAAGTTGACTTTTTCTGTATCTCCTGAAAATTGATGGAAAAGAGTAGCAAGTATGATTTTGAAATGATTCTTAATATATTATTCAGTTTTCACTTAAATAAGCAATGGCATATGGCGTAACTTAACAATTAACGCCTAAAACGCAAAGACTGAGAATGTAGACATACTGGTACAATATTTCTACTCGTTATCTATTTATAATCCCCAAATGACAGTGTTGTGTATGGTTGTGGACAGGTAGTTCAACGTTTCGGCAGGCACAGTATGGTATTTATTTATTATTTATTATTAATGGCTTTATTCAATATTAGATTTTGTTACAATATAGAAATTCTCAGCACAGGGTATTTCAACAAGTTTCTTACACAAAAAAACAGAAACAAAGACAAAAAAAGGTCTTAAAAAAATCTGAAAAACTGTACAACTTTTCAAATTAGAGACATGTTAAGAATGCATCTTATTAACTAGGTTAACTCTAACAACCTGTTCGTCACAAAGTATATTTGCTAGGTAAGGTATTATAGAACTTTTATGCTTTTCCTTGCGTGCGTGGATTTTAATGTAATTACGTCTCGTTCTACCAGAAGATATACAAGGAGAAAGATAAGAGTGAAGGGGATGGCTAATATCTGATAAAATAACACCTGCCAGGAGTTTGCATAACCTTAGATGTCTATCCACAACCATATTAATTATGACCTCGAAAGATTCACCACACACCTTGCTTACTGCCTTCAGCACTCTCCGCAATACAGCAAAGTCTTTTCTCAAAAGCCCGGGAAAGAATAATGGAGAACAGTAAAGAATAATAGGTAATATGAAAGAATCGACAAATTGTAAGAGTAAATGATGAGTAATCCCAAGAGTATGCAATCTCTTTATGTAGTAAGTCAGACGGAGAACCTTCTTCGATAACAATTAAACGTGAGAAGACCAAGAGAGATCAGAGGAAAAGGCAACACCAAGATAATTGACCTTCAACACTGTTTATCAAAGTCTCCAATGGCACAAGCATTATGGGATCTCAAAATGGTGTTTAGATGCCGTTCATTTCTCATGTTAAAGTTAATAGCTTGACATTTAGACGAACTAAGTATAAGACCATTACCAACAGACCAACAATCAATACGAGACAAAAACTCATTCATTTCTATGAGATGTAAAGAGGAAGAGATAGGCATACATACAGTGAGATCATTCGCATATTTCACAAAAGTGTTTTCTGTGGAAGATGGCAGGTCATGCAGAAAAAAAAGAGAAAAGAAGAGGTAAAAGAACAGCTCCTTGTGGTACACCTTCATGAGACAATAAAGACTCTGAACACCTCCTTCCAGAGAGGTAGGAACATAGCCAGTTGGTTATCGAACGTGTATTGTAATTATGGTTTTCCAAATTTGTATTAAATCAGCTAATCAGTACACTTTCAAAATTGTGTTAATATTTAATTCAACATGACAACAGTAAAGCGTTATTTTCAATTTCAGTGTAGTTCACACAGTTTTTTTATAATGGTCTTAGGATTTTTGACAAATGAATTCAACTATCACATTAACAATTCTTTTCGCTATGGCTGCTTATAATTTTGAATATATATATATATATATATATATATATATATATATATATATATATATATATAACCTGATTTCCTATCGTTGGATTATGTAATGTATATTTATCTTAAAACAATTAATCAGTGCATTTTGTAGCATCATTGTTTCTGTACTCCGTTAAAACAATATGTTGATGAATTTTTTTACTGATTGTTTGATTAAACATATAAAAACAATGAACTATTCAATAACTCCTAATTTTATAGATGATAAACTTTAGTGTAAAATCATCAGTTTATTTACACATCTGATTACAACTAAATGAATATTGAAAAATGGAAAATGTACAATTCTTGCTGATATGTATTACTATTCCCTTCTCTTCTTTTTTTTTCTCTCGTTTTTATACAAACAATAATAATGTTGATAACATTATTATTATTGAAAAATATTTTATTCACTCATATTCATCATTTTAATTGTTCAATTGTCAATTTTGTATTGTATATTTTAATAAACATTCATTAAGAGGAAAATACTGATGTCAATATATCTCTTCTTCATTTAGTTATTACATTTGAAACTTATCTCATGATTAAATCAGAAAAAAAGAATAATAATAATAATAAAGGAAAAGGAGAATAAGGAAACTAATCGATTATTGGATTCATGTTTAGTTAATGGATAATCACAGATTTTTTAATAATAAAATATAAATAAAAAAAAGAAAGAAGAAACAGAAAAATTGAATAGAACAATCACAGTAACAATAAGTCATATTAATATACCTAAATAATTGAAAAATTACCATAAAAGTAATTTCATTAATAGTTTTTTTACTATACATGAAATAATTTCTGTGTATCATTTTGTTGTAGAAAGAGTGATATAAAATTGAAAAAAAGAAAAAGAAAAAAACAATAAAGAACTAAACACTTGGATTCAGTTTATAAATTTTCTATATCTGGATTACTTGACATTTCTTCTAAACTTTGAAGGTAGATTAAAGAGGATTTTTTAAGATTATTATTATTATTATTATAACTACTTTTGATGGGAATATTTTTATTTTTATCTACATTTGTGTTATTAGTGTTATTACTATTGATATTAGTTGTACAAGTTTTGGATTTTGTCTCGTAATCCATATCAATTTTATGATCACATTGTCTAGTTTTATCGAATCTAAAATCACTGATAGACTTTTTCTTCTGTATTAACTTTAAATGCTTATCATTTAAATTGTTATCTGTAAGAACTAGAAAGCTTACAGAAGAATGAGATGAATTAGATCCACGATAAGGTAGTGTATATGAACTAGAAGATTTTAAATTTTTATTGTTAGTATTATTGGAACAAGTAATGTCTCCCAACAAGTTATGACTGTTCGATTTAATATCATCAATTATTTTACAATCATTAAGTAGTACCTTTTTTGATAATCCTTTATCTACAGGTATTGGTTTTAATTCAGAGGATATACTTGAGGCTTTGGTTCGTTTTCGTCTCATATGAAATATAGGTCTGAATATGTGAGAAAAAAGTTTTTGTGATTCACAGCTTGCTCTAATATTTGATGGAAGACTAGGCCTCGAACGAGAACTGGAACTATTATTACGATAAATACTTAAACGATAGTTTGAATAATTTCTTAAATTCGTTCTAGGATTATAGCCATATTGTGTTGCTGTTCCAGCCAATTCAGAGTCTTCATCATCATTATTGTTCAAAGATCTTGTAGCCCATTCCGGAATGTAGATGCAATGTAATCCGTTATCTCGAACACATCGATAAGGCCAAAATGTTCGGACAAAATGTCGACGGAATCTGCGGCTGAATATGTAGTAAGGTAGAAGATTTATCGCTGAATTGACAATGATCAGTAAATTTCCGATTTCATTTAAAAGAAACCATGACATTTTTTTACTAGATTCTATTGTGATAAGGCCCCAGGCTATATGACTCACAGCAGCTGGAAGCTAATGAAAGAATAAACAATGTTTCAATAATCAAAAATAATCATTCACAATAAAATTTAGTATATATCAACTTATATTCAAAAGTTTCATCACTATATCTTTAGTGCTTTTTCCAAAAATCATTATTTTTAAATCGATATCTGTTAATGTACTTTTTTACGGTACGATATCATGATTCTAAACAAGTTACGTATATGCTAACCGTGAAAGAAGAAATATATGCAACCACTCCTCCACCCCTGGCCAAAATCAAGGCCAATTAATCAATCGTAATCTTATCTACTAAATGACCTAATTTGACTAGGACCTTTCGAGGTCAATTGTAATTGTCTCTGTTATCTTTATTCATAAATCTTTGTATTATTATTCGTATTTTTGGTTAAACATCAATATTAATCTCCTCTATACATGATTCATTCACTTCGCATTCATCTCTCCTTATTACGTCCTGCTAATTTGATCAAATTGTAATTGCATTATTTTTTCTCTTTCACTCTATTTCACCCATATTTATTCTGATCATGGATCTTAAAATTTCATTTAACATATACGCAGATTCAAGTTAACATTCCATATGAGTCATATCAACAATTTTATTTTATTTTGTTTATCACAATCCTAAATATCACATGCTTTAAACGATGTACTTTGCCCTTAACCTGGCCATTTTTCAAATTATTAATTTGGATATATAATTGAATACATAGTGACTGACTTCGAGAGAAACTCCTGGAGTTCTAGTGAGAAGCCGTTACCAGTGGAGTTCAACCACGTCTGTTGTGAGATACCAACTCACTGAACACAATGGTGTACAGTGGTGCAACTTCGTGGATTGGTTGAAGTTATACATTAACACCATTGAATGTCGGCTTAGTGGTCTAGTTGATTAAGCGCCTGTCGCGAGACTGATAGGTCCTGGGTTCTAATCCCGCGGGATGCGAGATCGTGGATGCGCACTGCTGAGTAGTCCCATACTAGAACGAAGCGGCCGTCCAATACTTCCAGGTTTTCCATGGTGGTCTAGCTTCAATTGACCCATGATTTCAATCAGCGAAATTTCTAACAATCTCCACATAACCGCTTCTGATATATAATTAATTGTTCCTTCGAAAATGATAGCAGTTACATATAATTATGTAGGTTATTATCAACACTAGAGTTCAATAGACAAAACGATCTCTTGAAAGCTGTTTTAAGCTTTACTTAACTAAATTTTCAGCCACTTTCAAGTAAAATATATTGTTTCTTGATTTTCCTACATCATCATCAGTTTGTTAGAGAGATTACTATTCGAATGACACAACTTTATTTAACTTAAACATTGTATTTACTAATAACATATTGTTTTTCTCTCACTTTCCCTCGCTTAATCAGAGTTGGAACAACATGCTATCAATGAATGAAGTAGAATGTACTATATAAATATTTTGATTTGTATTATTATTTAATACAAAGATCATGAGACAGTGTTTCATCATTCTTACTTGGCATATAAAAAATATAATTATTACTCCGATAAGCATAATGTTTGTATCTTGTCGTCGATATTCTGATCGTTTGGTTTGATCAACACACTTTCGACTTGATTTACGTACTTCCAAAATAAGAAATGTATTCATGATAGCAATCAGAGTGAATGGTATCCCAACAACTAATAAAACCCATGACCATAGATGATAAGCTTTACGAAATTGAGCTGATTCACCGAAACTGGTTAACTGATACCAAACTATTGAGATGCTAGTCATCGAATCACTGGTAAAACTATCACCAATCATACCGTTATCGGAAATTACAGATGTAAAAGTTGATAAATTCTGTACAGATAAACTACTAGGTGTGAGATCACCGTATTGGAACTCTAATAAGGTAGGATTTAGTGGTAGATACATTTCAAAAACTTTATATTCAAAATAACGTGGGATTCCATAAATTACACTGAATAAATAAATTAAAATAATTATAATTTTGGCAAGTTTCAAAGTACACCATCGTTTGGCCCAGAACGGGTGGCATATCATTAGATAGCGATCTGCAGCAAACGCAACTGTTAACCATACAGATGTGACCTAATATAAAAAAAAAACAATCGAATGAAAGTTACCGAACAATTTGTAAATATTTTTACTAGTTCAACAGCAAATTAATCGAAATTCATTTTTTTTACTTACTTATCCATTACAATTGAATTACATTCATAATACCGAAAACTGTTGAATAATAAACAGATTACATGAAGACAAAATCAATTATTCTAACCGCATATTTACAAAAACGAGTACGCCCAAATCGATTTGCATGTAACTGAATACAGTTTTATGGCACCAGAAAACTTGCTATGTATACCTTACAATTTATATATACATATTTATTAAGTGAGAAATGACCAATACTATGAATGACTTTATAACAGAATGATTAAATCTTGTAATTAAGTAAGAATAAAACTGTACAGATCTAAACAGCTGTTCGGCTAGAAATCTGGACAGGTTCTGAATAACGTTCACTGAAAAATAACCTTACGTTCTATAATGAATATTGTGCCTTCAACTATCGTTTAAGCTCGCAGAAAAGAACTTCACTAATCATCTGAGAAACACTATTGCAATCGATTTAGTTCTAAACAAAAATATAGTGGAAATTAGCCAGAAAATTTATTTAAATTTCCAGTTGATGTAATTTAACAAGTGACATACTCCACAAAAAGGAGTTGTTGACCTTGAACTAATTACTTAATTTTCGGGCTATCATAAATCAGTTGTTCATAATAAATACAAAGTATAAATTGTTATTATACCAAGAAAATGACACTTAACATTTTTTTTAAACTGAGCTAGTTTTCGGTCCATTTTCTTCATCAATTAATAGGACAAAGACAAACCGATTCGATTCTGCTATCAATATTAACTAGTAGTTTGTACACGAAGCTCTAGGACAAACATACTACTGTGACATAGTTTTGTGGAAAATATAATGTAATTCTATCAAAAACCACCTAAATGAATGAATCACTGTGTGAATATAGGTATTTGTAAAATCAAATACCATTATTAAGAATGGTATTCGAATGAATTTCTGCGAGACAAAGCTTTGCTTTTTCACCCAAACAACTGCAATAATCCATTCCTTTGTGTTTGTAAATACTATTTCTTAAGGAAGTTTGTTCTCCCAATATATTTGTTGATACTAGTCATTTTTTAACTCCTCCTAAAGCCCTTCTAGAAATGCTGCCGATCCCGAGCTCTGGTAAAAGAATATGGTTGGACATTATGTTATCAACACCATCTCTCTAAAAAGACTAACCACTAAACATTGTTTAAACCATTTAAAACTAATCACTTTGGTCGCAAAATTAATGATACTTTCTATTTTTATCACTTTACCTAAAAGAAAATCATGTTAACATCTTTAGATAAGTAAGAACATAAATTATAAGACATTTTATCTAAATATAAAATTCATTTAAGTCAAATCAAGCACAAAAAATTTATCATATTTAATAGGCCGGCATCCAACAGTTTTAATGTCTAACCTCAACCAATCCACGAAACCAAAATAGTCACTAAGTGAAAAGAACTTAAACATCAATAAGCTAAATTTTCAACAACAAAAAAACAAGAGATGAAAGCTTTAACAAGATTTGTTGATCAGAATTTTTGTAATTTTGTGTTATAACAATTATTTTGTTAAACGTTTAAAAGTTACCATGAAATAATAATACTCATTTCATTTTAGTAATTAGGTATTTGAGAAAAAGAACTGATAGTTCAAGAACGTTAAAGGTGTCTATGTAAATACAGTAGAATTTTAGAAAATAACTTTAGCTAACATCACCCTGATTATTCAGATCAAATGACCGACCTTAATCAGGTAACCAAGATTGTGTGTATTCTTTTGCTGTTTTTAGAATCTATAAGGTTTGAACACTGCCCGATTTCAACCCTAGACATCATGTTTGAAAAGTCTGACCTTTGATTTGAAAACTGAACATAACAAAATTATACAGATGTTTTGATACAAATGTGAGATTATATAAATAAAACACTCGGACTAAAAACCGAAGACTGTTCTTCCGTTTTCAACTCAAATTATCTAATTTTCTTTGCGCTGAATATATAAATGTATATTTTGAACGTCCTATGCTGAAAACACATAGGTTTGCTTGTAATCTCCTTATCAAAAATTGAATTTACTCAGTTGTAAACATTAGGGTGTCAAGAAAATATCAGACGATTACATCGTGAATATCTTTACCAAAACATTTCCTGAAAACTTTTAAAAAAGATCTACTAGCTTATATTCATACATCTACATTATTGCATTGAACAAGTCAAGGTCATACCATACTTCTAAATACCATAATTTATTCACATGAAATTCATTTTCATATTATTACAATAAAAACGTCCTGATTTGTGATTAGTTTGTTTTTTGTAATGTTTTCTTCTTAATCGAAAATGTTTCCCCAAACTATTTATTGTGGAGATGATTTAGATCATGATGAGAGTTACCTCCCATAACGGGGTGAGTCGTTAAGAAATATCCCATTAGTATATCCACCATTTAAACATCCTGAAGAAATATCTGACAACATTTTCTCTTTCCTCATCAATACATATGATCATTTATTCAAAAAATATGAACATCAATTATCCTTTCAGTGGTTTCCAGACTACTACTGAAGTAAAACACAGGTTGAAAACAACTTTCAAGGATTCTTTTCAGTATTATAGCAAATTTTTATAGTGAACTGCTTTAGTTTTTAGGATAAAATAATATGTACTCCCCTTATTTCATGCTTTCGTTTCTAGTTGTTAAAAGATCATATCGTCTTTTTCAGTGGAATGTTGAAAATGCCGCAACAATAATTTAAAAATAGTATTTTGATATTTTGGTAAATAAGATGTATTCAGTGTCAAAATAAAATTTTTAATAACTGGATCAACCATTATATTAGATTTTGTGATACTTTAACTATACTAGTGAGAATAAACTAATCAAGTTGTTAAACTAACACAAAATAGTAACTCTTGGCAACGAAAGTTTACTTAAAGTAGTGACAATTACCATATATATATGCCGTTTAAATAAACGGATTTTATTGCGAATTTTGTTAGGCGGTGTAGAATGTTAATCTTTTCACTTTCATAACTTATATGAATGTAATTCAAAAAAGCATATATGCCCTAATTTAGGACATATGAATGAACTTTTAACTAACATTTAATCTCAAAAAAGTATGTCTTTCATTTTTTTTAATCTACAACAGAATAAAATAATTAAACTAATATTTAAACGGTTTTAGTAAGAGTATAAAAATTTATCTCAATTGTCATTCAAGAAAATAATTAATCAGTCTTTATTGACATATCCAAATCCTGAGTGGATTACCGGATTATAGTGTCATGTTATAAGTCATAGTATATTTGGTAGTGTAGTCTAGAACAAATGTGACTGAACTCCAATGTTGATCTTCTCAATGGAACTTAAACACAGTGCCTTTAATTTTAAATTTTAAAGTGTTACCATTGAATTACTAAGTTCACATAACCAATAAAAGGTGTAAAAGAATTTATAAACGTTTATAAATATATTTTGTTGATATTCAGGACTGAAACTATTATTGCATATGCATTCTATAAGGATTACTGTGGTGCGTGCTACTTATATTGATGTAAGTAGTAAATGACGTGAGTCAAAAACGTAATGTCTGGCAGCAGAAGATGGGGGAAGATCAAAAAAGGAAGAGCGGGAACACAATGCAATTTGTAAGAAAACGCATGAACAATGAAATGTGAGACAATGGATTGATGATTGCAACATGAACAGTCCGGTTTGGTATGATGGATTGATATTTTGCAAATTAACGATTTACTATATGGTCGTTCTGTTTTACCAAGAAAGTCTGTAATTTTATGTGTTGGTTTGTAAATAACAGTTGGATCTACATCGTTGTGCAGAATTAAAAATGAAATGACGACATTTATCAGTATTTTTATTGTCGAATGACACAAGTAGTCTTGTGATGTAGTATATGAAAATTAAATAAAAATAAATTATTTGGTATAATAAAAATATATCTCTTGTTTGTTTAACGTAAAATTTTAAGGAAATTTAATGTTTAATTTAAGGCGAGTTCAAACATTTAAAGGACATTTCAATTTCCTTAATTCATTCGAATGATTTTAATCATGATTTAAATACCAGATAATGTTTGCCATATACATGCTCATACTGAGTATACTAGATTTCTGAAATGTTTAAGTCGATCAAACGTTTTTTTAATGATAGACATTTAAACTATTGTGGAATATATCAATTTCCAAAAAAAAGCTGTCTGTCGAAATTGACTGTTGTGAGTTTTGAGTGAATGATATATGAAGAATTTAAATGCTAGGAAACATTCACATAATAATTATTATCATTAGTAGTATTAGGATAAATTTATGGAACATACAAGTTTGCCCAAAAATAGTTATAGTAAAGATGTAGAGACTAGAAGTCTTGGACTGTGATCAACGTTTGTTACATTTTTATCTCTTTCAAATGTCATTTACCTTTTATGTCACTGTCGGTGATAGTAAGTAATTTATATATGTATGCTGTCGACCTTTTGGTATCATTAAACTATTCGAGTCGAGTTCCCCTAACATACTTCCCAGTTAATCTCTCATTTTTACTGATAATAGTGAGAATCTCCACCTTCTAACTAGGATTAAATGAGGATTATAAATTAGTGTGGGTAATTAGGATTACGATTTACACTTGAACATCAGGATTAGGAATTAAGTTTAGGGTTTTCGTCACAAACTAGCATCAGCTATATTGCCAAAATGCTATTTAGCCAAATGGTGAATGAATTTCGCACTCAAATCTAATACCTGCTATCTTAATTCCAAGTGCTTTGTCCATAAATTATAGTCTCGCCACGATATTACTGTCGTTTGAAGGATATTAAAAGGTTTTTGGTACCTTTCAGATATACTTATCTGTTTTTAACTACTTCTCAGTTTGATTATCAACCTTATGGTTTTGTGAAATAGCAGTGGAGAGAAAAAGTTTTTTAGAC